TTTAAATAAAGTGGTTCTTAAAAAATTTAATAAATCTGAAAGAGGTTAGTAACTGACAAAGTTTTCTAATGCATTGATATTTATGTTTGTTTGCTTATGTATTAAGTAGATAGTATTGCTTCGTCCAAACAAGAGGTTAAGCTTGTAGATGTGATATGTGTATTTTTATACACGTGTTTTGGCTTTTTCTTGATTATTTATGGCTAATTGAGTGGATATATATCTAATTTAGGTGTAAATTTGTTAATTGAAGGTAAATTCTCTACTTGAATGCATTTTGATGAAATTGGCGTGAAATGGCATTCTAGAACTAAATTGGAGTTGATTTAGTGCAATTGATGATCAACCAGATTGCAATTGATCAATTGAAAACATTATGGAGTAATTGAAGGCGATTCACAAGTTTCGAGAGTGAAACATAATATTTGAAACGTTTAAGAACTTAATTACCAACTCTTGGAACTTGAGTTCAATTACGGCTAATTAAGGAATTTGAAAGATTAAAGTTTAAAATTTTAATGATGAAAGATCCAGGGTGAAATTAGGAAGCGACCTCAACTGAACAAAAGAGAAGATTCAAGGACCAAAACAAAAGGAGAGAAAACATGAATATTGCAAGCTTTGTTAGGTGCAATCGCAAGTGGGAATTTCTGAATTCCAGAGAACAAATTATTAAGCCGATGTGATCACATATAGTTATAAACTGCGATTGCACAGTGTATTCCGACCTAAAAGATTTTATTTATTTATTTAATCAACCTCTTCTTGGAAGGTAATTAGGGGCACATTATTTTTGACCTAAATCTTGGACTATCAGTACATTCTTTCATCCAAGATTCAAAAGAAAGGAAGCTTGGAGGCTCTTGTACATAAAAATTGCATCTTTACATGTTCGTATTTGGAATAGAGATATTATCGGAATATATGTGAGGATAGATTTGATTCTACTTGAGAGAGATTATTGACCATGATAAAAATATTGATCGTCAAGTTCAAATAAATGTTACCAAATTGTGGAATTAGTATTAAGATGGATGAATGTATTTCTCCTTTAATGGAGTATTCATGACATTTCCTACCACTCAGTTAATTTGGTTAGATAATTTTAGGTTGTCAATATACCCATTTTTTTATTTATTAAATTGTTGAATTCAAGTAATGCCACATTGGTGGCATAAATGATTACTCAAAATCTCTTTTAAGAAAACTACTCTTGGTTATCATACATAGTTAACAGACTTGGCGTTTGAGTAAAATGTTTATTTTATGTGGTTCAAAAGAATATAAGGAATTATAGAAACTAAAAATTTAAAAGCAATAAACTCAGGTCGTGGAATCGCATTGTGCCATTTTTAGCCTAGATTCACATAGTCCATGTGTGGAAGAAAAGTAGATTCAGGTCGAGTTATACCTAACATCATAACAAATATTATTCTCGAATCATTTGAAATTAAAATAGCATTTTTTATTTATATTTTTATTGGTGTGCAAAGAACTCAAGCAATAGGCCAAATTGCCTTGGCAAACAGGTGCAAGATCACCGAAGCAAAATTCCCAGTCTCCCATCACACACAAAAGTGGAAAAAGAAAAAAAAAGTGTAGTCTTTCTGGTAAGAGTCAATGCATGCGAGGCCAAAAAAGATTTAAAAAAAAAAAAAAAGGATTTTTACAATTTTTTATTATTTTTATAAAGAAAGGTTCACGAATAGTCTAGCGCTGGATGCATTATAAAGCCCAACTGTGAGGCTGTTGTTTAGTATGCATAGATTACGCTGGAAAACATGCAAATGCATTCGGTTTTGCCCCAAATCTTCTGCTTTCTTTCACTAGTGGTAGCACTACCGCCAAATGCGGTCGGAGCCGCCACCACCAAACCTGGCTGCCAAAGCAGATGTGGTAACCTAGAAATTCCATACCCGTTTGGTATCGGGTCAAAATGTTCTCGGAACGTACACTTTAATATCAACTGCAATACTTCTTTCGACCCTCCAAAACCCTACCTCCCGGATCGCTCTGAAAGTTATTACTATGAGGTTGTTAATATCTCAGAAACCCAAATCTTTCTCAAGAACTCGGAGGCACAACTGGCAATGGCCTGTTACGGTATGGGATTCAATAACAAGACAGAGAATTCTACTATATCAATCACATTTCTGGATAGTCCTTATACGTTATCAGACACAAATCAGATCACATCCATTGGTTGCGATGACATGGCAATGGCATCACAACTGTCATACCTAACAAATACCTTTGACGGTAGTGTTTGTGCGTCGTACTGTGGCGGCACTCCATATTATGTTCATAATGGGTCATGTCCAGGCAGGGGCTGCTGCCGGACCTCCATATCCAGAGTTGAGTATCTCCGAGTTGAATTGTTAGACATGCATAGTTATTGGGGTCGAGAGAGAAAACATTTCCGGTGCAGCTTTGCCTTCGTTGGAGTGACAGGTGATTATGATAAATTCAATTTTAGTTTATCTCATCTCGACAATTCAACAACTTTCCTGCGTAGTAATGAAGAGTTTACGGGTATGCCGTTGGTGTTGGACTGGCGAATTGGGGACTACAATTGCATCGAAGAGCAAAATTCGACTAATTATGCATGTGGAAAGAATAGTTATTGCATTAATTACGACACCAGTCTTAATTTTGGAGGATAATTAACTTGATAATATTATCATTGTAGACATTTTTTTTTTTACATGCATATAAAAGCCACAAACTGTAAGCATTCATTTTTATTCATTTTTTAATTTTTTATTTATTTATTTTCATTTTTTTTATTTTTGCATTGGAAAATTCTTTGAAGGAATAAGTCGCAATTTATGCAAAAAAAGAACGAATAGGTTCGTAAAAGTTTTATTTTATAAAATTTTAGATTATGATATTTAATATGGTAAAAGTAATATGACTAAAAAATTAATTAATTAAGTAAAATTCATTGTGTATAGGAATTCATTATCCATACCTCCAATTTCGTATTAAATTGTTGTCTTATCAGTTATCATAAATACATTTTTATTTGTTTATAGTCATGCAGTTTTTGTTGTTTTGCCTGCAATTTCTTCTTGATTTTGCACTGCCAATTTAGTTTTCTTATCCTCTCATGAGACCATGTAATAGCTTTAAAATTTTACTTTTTATTTTTTCATTTTTTGGGGATTTTATTTCCCTTTAAGACTCTTCAGTTTTTATACCACCTTTTTTTTTTTTTTTTTTAAATAAAATGGTTCTTAAAAAATTTAATAAATCTGAAAGAGGTTAGTAACTGACAAAGTTTTCTAATGCTTTGATATTTATGTTTGTTTGCTTATGTATTAAGTAGATAGTATTGCTTCGTCCAAACAAGAGTTTAAGTTTGTAGATGTGATAAGTGTATTTTTATACACGTGTTTGGGCTTTTTCTTGATTATTTACGGCTCATTGAGTGGATATATATCTAATTTAGGTGTAAATTTGTTAATTGAAGGTAAATTCTCTACTTGAATGCATTTTGATGAAATTGGCGTGAAATGGCATTCTAGAACTAAATTGGAGTTGATTTAGTGCAATTGATGATCAACCAGATTGCAATTGATCAATTGAAAACATTATGGAGTAATTGAAGGCGATTCACAAGTTTCGAGAGTGAAACATAATATTTGAAACGTTTAAGAACTTAATTACCAACTCTTGGAACTTGAGTTCAATTACGGCTAATTAAGGAATTTGAAAGATTAAAGTTTAAAATTTTAATGATGAAAGATCCAGGGTGAAATTAGGAAGCGACCTCAACTGAACAAAAGAGAAGATTCAAGGACCAAAACAAAAGGAGAGAAAACATGAATATTGCAAGCTTTGTTAGGTGCAATCGCAAGTGGGAATTTCTGAATTCCAGAGAACAAATTATTAAGCCGATGTGATCACATATAGTTATAAACTGCGATTGCACAGTGTATTCCGACCTAAAAGATTTTATTTATTTATTTAATCAACCTCTTCTTGGAAGGTAATTAGGGGCACATTATTTTTGACCTAAATCTTGGACTATCAGTACATTCTTTCATCCAAGATTCAAAAGAAAGGAAGCTTGGAGGCTCTTGTACATAAAAATTGCATCTTTACATGTTCGTATTTGGAATAGAGATATTATCGGAATATATGTGAGGATAGATTTGATTCTACTTGAGAGAGATTATTGACCATGATAAAAATATTGATCGTCAAGTTCAAATAAATGTTACCAAATTGTGGAATTAGTATTAAGATGGATGAATGTATTTCTCCTTTAATGGAGTATTCATGACATTTCCTACCACTCAGTTAGTTTGGTTAGATAATTTTAGGTTGTCAATATACCCATTTTTTTATTTATTAAATTGTTGAATTCAAGTAATGCCACATTGGTGGCATAAATGATTACTCAAAATCTCTTTTAAGAAAACTACTCTTGGTTATCATACATAGTTAACAGACTTGGCGTTTGAGTAAAATGTTTATTTTATGTGGTTCAAAAGAATATAAGGAATTATAGAAACTAAAAATTTAAAAGCAATAAACTCAGGTCGTGGAATCGCATTGTGCCATTTTTAGCCTAGATTCACATAGTCCATGTGTGGAAGAAAAGTAGATTCAGGTCGAGTTATACCTAACATCATAACAAATATTATTCTCGAATCATTTGAAATTAAAATAGCATTTTTTATTTATATTTTTATTGGTGTGCAAAGAACTCAAGCAATAGGCCAAATTGCCTTGGCAAACAGGTGCAAGATCACCGAAGCAAAATTCCCAGTCTCCCATCACACACAAAAGTGGAAAAAGAAAAAAAAAGTATAGTCTTTCTGGTAAGAGTCAATGCATGCGAGGCCAAAAAAGATTTAAAAAAAAAAAAAAAGGATTTTTACAATTTTTTATTATTTTTATAAAGAAAGGTTCACGAATAGTCTAGCGCTGGATGCATTATAAAGCCCAACTGTGAGGCTGTTGTTTAGTATGCATAGATTACGCTGGAAAACATGCAAATGCATTCGGTTTTGCTCCAAATCTTCTGCTTTCTTTCACTAGTGGTAGCACTACCGCCAAATGCGGTCGGAGCCGCCACCACCAAACCTGGCTGCCAAAGCAGATGTGGTAACCTAGAAATTCCATACCCGTTTGGTATCGGGTCAAAATGTTCTCGGAACGTACACTTTAATATCAACTGCAATACTTCTTTCGACCCTCCAAAACCCTACCTCCCGGATCGCTCTGAAAGTTATTACTATGAGGTTGTTAATATCTCAGAAACCCAAATCTTTCTCAAGAACTCGGAGGCACAACTGGCAATGGCCTGTTACGGTATGGGATTCAATAACAAGACAGAGAATTCTACTATATCAATCACATTTCTGGATAGTCCTTATACGTTATCAGACACAAATCAGATCACATCCATTGGTTGCGATGACATGGCAATGGCATCACAACTGTCATACCTAACAAATACCTTTGACGGTAGTGTTTGTGCATCGTACTGTGGCGGTACTCCATATTATGTTCATAATGGGTCATGTCCAGGCAGGGGCTGCTGCCGGACCTCCATATCCAGAGTTGAGTATCTCCGAGTTGAATTGTTAGACATGCATAGTTATTGGGGTCGAGAGAGAAAACATTTCCGGTGCAGCTTTGCCTTCGTTGGAGTGACAGGTGATTATGATAAATTCAATTTTAGTTTATCTCATCTCGACAATTCAACAACTTTCCTGCGTAGTAATGAAGAGTTTACGGGTATGCCGTTGGTGTTGGACTGGCGAATTGGGGACTACAATTGCATCGAAGAGCAAAATTCGACTAATTATGCATGTGGAAAGAATAGTTATTGCATTAATTACGACACCAGTCTTAATTTTGGAGGATATCACTGCAAGTGCAAAGAAGGATTTGAGGGCAATCCTTACCTAGGATGCCATGGTTAGCTCTGTTTAAAGTTGTCTAATTTTACTAACGAGATCGATCAATACAAAACTCTAATTATTTGTTGCGATTTTTGATGTGTCGGGTGGACAGATATCGACGAATGCATCAATAATCGATGTGTCTCATATGGGACATGCACCAATACTCCAGGTTCCTATAATTGTTCCTGCCCTGATGGTTATTATGGTGATGGCAAAAGAGATGGTATTGGCTGTATTCCGATTCTGGTGTCCCATAGCAAATTGGCAATAGGTAATTTTCAATTAATCTTTATATATTAAATAATTGGGCATAAAATTTATTTTTTCTTAATATTTTCCTAAATGTTACTAGTTAATTATTAAATAAAATCAAATGCCCATTTTTATAATAAGATAATTAGTACTATACAATTGCTTGTTAAAAACTTTTTTCTTATTATCAATAGCTAGATTAATTTAACAAATTGTTATTAATCAAATAATAAATGTTATAAAATATTAAGCATTTAAAATAAGTTAGTCAACACAATATATGAAGAACGACAATTCTGGACGAAGATATCATAATCTATACTCACAATTTTAGTGTTAGAATTCTTAACATTGTATTGCTGTTATCTTAATAAAAAATAGTAAACAAACAATGATCAATATTCCTACTCTAGAAAACTATACATAATTATACCTTGATACTTCCAGGAATAGGCTTGGGCGCTGGAGTGGGATTTCTTCTATTGTTATCAACTTGCTTCTGCTTGTTCAAGTTTCATCAGAAGAGAAAAATCAAGAAGCGCAAAGAAAAATTCTTCAAACAAAATGGTGGTATCTTGCTACAACAACAAACATCAACAGATGAATGTATACTTGAAAAAACACAACTTTTCACTATTAAGGAGCTGGAGAAAGCTACCGATAACTTCAATGAAAGTCGAATACTTGGTCAAGGTGGCCAAGGAACAGTCTATAAAGGAATGTTACATGACGGAAAAATCATAGCAATAAAAAAATCCAAGTTAGTAAATACAAATCAAGTGGAGCAATTCATTAACGAGGTTGTCATGCTTTCACAAGTAATTCATAGGAACGTAGTTAAACTACTAGGTTGTTGCCTAGAAACAGAGGTTCCTTTATTAGTTTATGAATTCATCTGCAATGGAACCCTTTTCGATCATATCCATGACAAGAGTTCTGATTTCCCATTGTCATGGAACATGCGCTTGAAAATTGCTATAGAAGTGGCAGAAGCACTTGCTTATCTTCATTCTGCAACTTCTTTTCCTATCTATCACAGAGACATTAAGTCAACTAATATATTGCTTGATGAAAAATATGTAGCCAAAGTTTCAGACTTTGGAACTTCAAGGTTAATTGCAATGGATCATACTCATGTAACTACCCAAGTAAAAGGAACATTTGGATACGTAGATCCAGAGTATTTCCAGTCAAATCAATTTACCGAAAAGAGTGATGTTTATAGTTATGGAGTTGTTCTTGTCGAGCTCTTGACTGGGCAAAGGCCAACATCTTTGGCGACGCAAGAGGAAAAAAGTTTAGCAACAAGATTTTTGTTATGTATGGACGCAGAAAATCTCGAAACAATTGTTGACGCCCAAGTCTTAGAGCAGAGTAAGAGAGAAGAGCTTTTTGCAGTGGCTAAGCTTGCACAAAGGTGCTTAAATTTGAATGGGAAGAAAAGGCCAACCATGAAAGAAATAGCCATGGAGTTGGAGATTGTTAGAATGTCACAAACGCATTCAACTATATCCGAAACTAAATATCAAGACATACAGTTGTGCAAATCAAAAACAAGATTGATGGCAGATGATAACTACACATGGACAAGTAACTATGACAATATCATCCCATCATCTGATGCCTATCCCTTAGAGATTCACACAGTTTGATGCCTTAAATGGGTTTCTAAACAATTTCCTCATTTATTGCTACTATATGCTTTTGTAATTGTGTATTTAAACACTTAAATAACATATAGCCACCTAAATTTGGGTGGCATTCTAAATGCTTTAATAAACTCCATCTGCTCAAGATTTTTGTAACATCATTATAGGCACAGACTTTTGCAGCATCAGATATTTTAAATCTTTTTCAACTTCGTAGTATATTATTATATCTTGCTAAAACTCAAGTTATTAAAAAATTTATAAATTTTCAACAAACCGAGATTTGTTTAATATTTGTCTGTTATGATAAAATGTCTCGTTTAAAATATTAAACAAATAGAGGCATGAAAAACTTATATATATAAAATTGACTATATTCGAGAAGAAATCCTCCACAAAAATGGTGGTTTACTTAATTTAAACATTTTCACAATAAGAACTATTACTTGTCCAATTAATAATTTGAACCTGCTTTCAGATCAAACTTGCTTAAAGCGTATGATAGAGTGGCATCAAAGGGACACCCCTCCTTAGAATATCTTCTTTGCCAACTAGGCAATATGGAAGCATTATTATTATTTTTTTAAATAAAAAACTAACACCAAAAGGTTGTTCAAAAAAATTGAAATGTCATCTATCTAAAGAGGGATGGATTGTTGACTACTTTTGACTTTTGAGTCTCATCATTTTTGAAATATATCTCGTGATTTTACGAAAATATTAAGGTGAGTTTTACCCAAAGTATTTGTAACGCTTTGCATTTGATTACAATGAATATTTGACATAGGATCTTCATATGAAATGAAAATACCACTGACTTGTACATTATTATTATTATTATTATTATTATTATTATTATTATTATTATTATTATTATTATTATTATTATTATTATTATTATTTGGAGCACTAAAACGGGTGCAATTTACGGTTTCACATTTTAGAAAATGTGTACTAGGATTGGAAATTTAATGGGGTTTCAGTTTAGAAATTGTGTATTAGGATTGGAAATTTCGGCATGACCACTGATTCACGAAGTCTAGGGCAATCAATTGCTATGACCATACATTGCACTTCAAAAATGGTGTTTACTTGACTTAGCCCAAGTTTGAATACAAATTTATAAATAATTTATAAATTGAGTTAAACTAAGATATTAATTTCAACTATATATTTTCAATTTTTATTTATAATTATCCATGCATAATAATCCATTGATAAATTTGTCAAATGAAGGCTGAGTGTGTTCCATATTGAACTCAAAAAGTGTTATTTAATGCTAAATATTTGCCAGCTTTGGATTCGGATTGAAGCGAAATTGTTGGAAGAATTGGGGATTGAACCAATATTATTCAATATCGTGTTTAACTACCATAAAGTCATTTTCAATACAAGAATTTGTTGGTTTTGAATTGTGGCAAACTATTTTGAGGACCTACTTACCCCACATTGAATGGAAATTTGGGAAGTCGAGAATTACCAAGTCAAAAAAATGTTTCTTAGGTTTTAAGTTTGATAAATGTCATCATGTCATGTTTGCTAAAATTTCGCAAATGTACAATATCGTCACCAAGTAATAAAGTGGACATGAGTACAAGTATCGATCTCACGAGTACAAAATATTTTATCTAATTTAATTAAACCTAACATTAGTCAAATAGAAATTTTTTGGAAGAGTCTTATACCAACAACCTAAAATCTATAGTGGGAATTTAGGATGTTTTCCGACCGAGAGCCTGGGCTGAAGTTTTTATAAATTATCTGTTGGATTAAACTCAAGTAATTGACAAAAACTAGGACTTCAAATCTTCCTACATTCAGCAATTTTAATATCAATTCCATAATTGATAACACCCATTTGGATACGAAAATCAATGTTCCTAACTTATTTAATTAATCTCTTTCGAGTAAAACTAAACATATTCTTACATGTGACTCCCCCACATCTCTATAAAGGATGTGAATATTTTAAGATGCTTTAAAACACAATAACATTAAAAATGATCATACAAAGTATAACGACACGTCTCTATTTCCTTATTGGGCTTTACAATGATTATTGCTACGTTCTAAATTCCTATTCCTTCTCTTGAATATCAATAAAAATCACAAGACAAATCAACAAGTGATCAATTAATTGAAAGTTATTAATCTCCTAACAATCATTCAAAATCAAATAAACATTCAATGTTAAAATTCGAGATTTAATATCAAAACTTTAAAATGTAGGATTCAACGTTATTCTAGTATCTACACAATTAGTTAATCAGCATATAAATTACAAAAACACATTTGAATAGTTAGAAAAATCACCCGGAAATAAAGTTTGAAAAGAAGATAAAGAAATCTTGAAAGTCTTTAATCTCTCTGTTGACTCATTGATCAACCTCCTTTGATTTTTCTTCAACCTAAGAAATATATGTATGAATTTATATGGATATGTGTTTCGTAACAAATGATTCTTTAAAGCTTGAATGAATATGGATTTGACGATCGAAAGCTTCCTATGCAGGCTTCTTCTTTGAAAGATTTTATGTGTTTTGTATCTGAAGAGCCTATTTTGGCTTGGATGGTATTTGTCTTTCAAATCCTCCAAAGCTCTATCTTATAATTGGAGATAAAAATATGTATTTATAGGCCCCAAGATAAGTTCAAAAGTTGTGCTCTAATTGCTTTCAAAGTAGAGTTGAGTCGAACAAGAGAAAATTTGAACTGCCCATATATAATCATGCATCGCTCAATATAAGAATTTTGCTTGCTGAAACTGTAAACTCTTGCAATCAAAAGTCACAAATTTTCCCTTATTTACAATTCGATCCTTACTCTTCCTTTTGTTTCAGGTTAAGTCCCTAATTAATTGATTCTTAGTCCTTCATCTTTGAATCTTTACAATTGAATCCCCCACAAATAGTCTAAAATCGCTCTGATGTAAGTTTTGGGAGTTTGTAATTTAGTCCTCAAACTCTCCAAATATTGAATTTACTCCTAGAACTTATGAATTTCTTCCGAACGTCTATTAATTCTTCTAATTGATCATGTACACCCCAATTAATCTTTAATTTGCTCCAAATCAACCTCAAAAAGCTCCAAAAACTTTGTTCACGCTATTTGCATCATGTTGAAGTGTTATCTACAATTAACATGTTTAACAACAAATTAGGTAGATATATGCTTAATTTAGCAATAAATAATCAAGTTTAGAAGTTCAAGTTGGTGCATAAAATACACTTACCATTGTGCATGGACTGTGAAGTAACAAGCTAGATTGAAGTCTACAGTTTTGGAGTTTTTATTGTTGATCTCTTGACTAGGTAAATGCCAATATCTTATGCTAAGACAAAGTGAAAGAAGTTTAGCAACAAGATTTTTTTTTGCGTGGAAGAAGAAAATCTTGAAATAATTCTTGACACTCAAGTTTTAGAGCAGTGTAAGAGAGAAGAACCATGGAGTAGCCAAACTTGCACAAAGGTGCTTGATTTCGAAAGGGAAGAAAAGGCACTTTTACATGGAGTTGGAGATTCTTAGGATTTGACTGCATTTGAATTTAAGATCCTATTTTCAAAAATGAGTTTTTTCAAAATTTGTTTTCAACCATACATTCTCTCAAAAAATAATGTTGCACATATACCTAAAATTTTTCCTTATTTTTTAACTACACATTATTCAAAAATCACTATTCCAAATACATTTTTCCCTAAAATCTCATTTTAATGGAGCCCAAAAATGGAATCTAAATATTAAGGCACTCTATTTGCTCAAGTCAAGCAATATTGATGTAGGATGATATATAATTACACATGGACAAGTACTCGTGACGATATCATCCATCATCATATGCTTGTCTGTTAAAGATTTGCATTGTTTGATGCCCTCGCTAGTTTCTAAATAATTTTCTCATTTATTGTAACCATCTACTTCTATAATTGTGTATTTAGGCTTGGTTTGACATTACTGCGCCTTTAAAAGGGTCAATTGTAGATGCAATAAAGAAAAAATTAGCTACAGAAGAATCAGATAATTGTTTGCCAAACTTTTGTTTCAAAATTGTTGCATGTCTCAAAATCAGAATTTAAGCGTTTGGTATTAAAAGAAATTTATCACTATACATGTATATAATTACTAAAATGGACATTGAATAATTGCATTACAAGGATTGGAAGATAACAAGAACAAATGACATTGTGACGTATACCTTATAACCACAAAATTTCATTACATGGATTAGACGATAATAACAATAAGATCAAATGACAATACGAAGTGATAGAAGTAATTATGTAGAACAATACGTGTATGTGAGAAAGGAAGGGGGGCTGGTTCTGCTGGTTCTGTCGGGCGCCCAGGCGCCACTCACATGGGGCCTAGGAGCCTCGAATGTGTAAACCATTCAGAAACACGGCGCCTAGGCGCCACTCTTGGGCGCCTAGGCCCCCAGATAGGCTATATTTATAGCCAATTTTCTTCCTTCTCATAACACACAAGACCTAGACCCGAAAATAGAGAGAAACTTGAGAGAAAACTTGGAGAGAATTTTACAAGATCGAAGGTTGTTCATCTTGGGTATAAATTCAACGTTATTTTCTTTCTTGGGGATTAACTTGAGGCTTGTTCAAGTAATCCAAACACATTGTTCTCCATTTATCCATTGAAATCATTTCTTCCTTATTTTCTTGTTCTTGAAGTGGTTTGGAAATTTTCACATTGTCAACTTTGTTTGATCTTTGGGCAATCTTTGGGAGGTGTTTTCCCAACAATTTGGTATCAGAGCTTCTTCCTAAATCAAGGTGGTTAAGCTTCGATTTTGTGGTGAGTTGCTTGAACTTTGTTGTGCACAAGGTGTTTGTGAAAATTTCCAAGTGAACTTTGGTGATTTATTTTCGGTAAACAAGTGGATAAATCATGTCTACTAGAGGAATGGTGAAGATTGGGAAGTATGAGATAGAGAAATTCAATGGGAAGAATGATTTTTCATATTGGAGAATGCAAATGAAAAATTTGTTGAT